ATCCACAGGGCTTTGGGAGGATCTGGGGTTGGACTGAATTCCTCTGTTGGCCATGGGACCCCCAGCAGGGCACGTGACAGTCTCTCATGGTAACCCAAAAGGTAAAGTGGGGAGTGTGCACTGTGAAGTGTGGCCGGCCGCTCAGCTGGAGGGTCCCGGCAGCCGAGAAGCCGCAGATGCTCGGGCCTGGGCCCCTGGGTTTGCCATTCGAGGGTAGAATGGGCACTGAGAAGGGAATTCCAAGATTATCTAAAAGCCAGCCCTGTGCCAGAACACAAGGTGGCGGGCACCCCAGGAGCAGAGGCTCCGTCCAAATCAGGAGGCCGCCTGCCAGGGCGTCAGGGCAGGGGACGGGAGCAGGTACCCGCCCTGGCTGTCACCCTGCAGTGAGACGCAAGGGGCCACCACAGCCAGCGTGACCTCAGTGGCCAGGGCCCCGCTGTAGGTGGTGGCAGGGGGTGGGTGCTCGAGTGGCCGCGGGCACAGTCATCTGTCATTATGGAAACTGACTATTATGTGCTCAGCTAGCGCTGCTCAGCCTCTCCTCTGAGTCAGACCTCAGCAACAGACACGCGGATCAACAGCGAGCACCCCGGGCCAGCCCCGAGCAGCACCGCGCCCCGCGGCCTCCAGACGGAGAGCCTGGGGCCTCACATGGCTCACGGCAGGCGCCGGTGCCCCCGACCCCCCATTTCACCAACAGGGAAACCAAGACCCCAGCGAGTCCAGGCTGCGGAAGAGCGTGGGCCAGGACAGGTCGGGGGAGCTGGCCTTCACTTCCTTCCCTCCAGGTGACCGTGCGCGGTCCCAGGGCTGGCAGCTGGCCATCCCGCCAGCTGTGCTGGGGGCAGCGCTGGGGCGAACCTGCCCGGGAGCCCCTCCTCAAGTTCCAGCTCAGGAAACACGACCCCTCGCGGCCTCCGAGGACAGCCCCGCGGCCTCCCTCTCAGCGTCCTCGTCCCTCTCAGCCTCCTCCCTCCAACACAGCCCATTAGGAAGCAGCATCTACCTCTAGTGCGAGTGTTTAGTACGAGGAAAAGTAATTAGCAGCCCGAAGTGTGGCTTCCCGAGGACCAAGGGTATTGCCGCTGCTTTAATTGCAGGGAAAACCTATTTAGGGAAATTAACACAAAAACGAGAGGGGCCACTTCAGGGCCAAGAAAACAATCACAAAAACCGCAGGAGTCTGCTCAGCCCTGCGCAAGGCCGGCGGGGAGGCTCCTCCCAGACCAAACGACGCCCCTCCCCAGGGTGGACAGCCCCCCGGGAAAGATCTCCCCATTGATGAATGAACACCCGTCCACCATGGGTGCTGTCCGCCCTTTGGACACTGACCTGGAACTGCCTTATGGACGATTTTTGAGATACAGGATGTGTTCTTTTTTTTTTTTTGGTGTGGGGAATTGAACTCAGGGGCACTGGACCACTGAGCCACGTCCCAGCCGTATTTTGAATTTCATTTAGAGGCAGAGTCTCACTGAGTTGCTTAGCGCCTCGTTTTTGCTGAGGCTGGCTTTGAACTCGCGATCCTCCTGCCCCAGCCTCCTGAGCCCCTGGGACCACAGGCGTGGGCCACCACCTCTGGCGAGATGCAGGCTGTTCTGTTATGAAGGAACTCAAGGAAAGGCTTAAGTGTCCAAGCGCGGTGTGGAAGGACAGCTGACCCTACGCCAGGCTAGCGCGGTTTCTGGGTCTACGTGGGACCCGGAGACTGGATGGAAGGCCAGGGACCAGGTTCAAAATGCCAACTCGCAAGGCCAGCAGTGGTCACCCTGCCTGCCCCCGGGGCCCAGCAACACTCTAGCACCCAGACCCGGAAGCCTGGGCTCCCACCTCATGGTTCTGAGCCAGTGGGTGGCTGGGGCCTGCGTGACTCCCTACCCAGCCACAGCAGCAGGACGAGTCTGACTGCAGCCCTGCAGGATGGAGGGGCAGCCGGACCCCCACCCGCGAGCCCTCGCAGCCTCCTGAGGACTCCCGTAAACTTGCCCCATCCAGTGGAGCGAGCTGGCTCCCAGGACAACCTCCAGGAGAGAGCTGCACACGGCCCCAGAGCCAGCGGCTCCTCGAAGCTCGGCTTCCGGTCCCTGCAAGCTCTGCCCACTGAGAACACCAGTGCCTCCGGGCCCTCTCCCGGGGGGCTGCCACCTCCCACCACTGCCAGAAGAGCCAGGGCTCCACCCTCAGGGGCTGCAGCAGGGAGCAGCCATCCCCCAGGTCGCGGCCCCAGCCCCACACCCCTGCCGGATGGCCCGGGCCACCTCTGGACCTCTGCCTGTACTACGATGCCCTGGTTTCCTCGTCATTATTCCCCAAACGGTATCAGGTGACAACCACCGACCAAGTGTTCATGTTGCGTTAGGTGTCGCGAGCAGCCGGGGACAACTGGGAGTGCACGGGGGAGGCACCTCGGTCACGGGCAGACACACGCCGTTCACGTGTGAGCACACCCTGCTGTTCCACACGTGGGACTGGAGCATCCTCTGGGGTCCTGGGGCCCGCCCGAGGACAGGGACAGGAGATCACACACAGCCCTGCAGGGCCCTGGGCCGTGGTGACCAGACGTCCTCACCCACGGGCGCACACGCCCTCCTCACCTCTGAGAGCGAGTTCACGGAGCGCACACGGACACCGTCTGTCCCTCGTGATCCCCAGCCTGAAGGTAGCCAGTCGCAGGGAATTCACCCCAAACTTTGATTTCGGTGGTGGTGGGGGTGGGGATCCAAAACCCCCCAAAACAAAAGAACGGATTTCCCCAGGCCGCCGCGGGGAGACGGTGAGCCCAAGGCAATGAGGCACGACGGGAGGGAGGCTCCGTGACGGGTCCAGCGCCCAGCACGGTGAGGGGTCAGGGCGGGCTGACAAAGTTAGAGGACAGAAAATGGAGTTCCGTGGGCGCCGGGGACCTTGAGAGCCGCCGCTGTCTTCAGAGGAGGCCGCTTGGCCCGTGGTTCAGACCTCAGCATGCGATTTACAGAGGAAATAAAGAGTCTGACATACCTTCGAGGCTCTTTCAAGCAACAGAGGGAAGAGCAGGTTTGCCAAGGGACACGGGGGACAAGGACCTGCCTGATGGAGAGCTCAGAAATGCCACCGACTCCAGGGGTGGCCTCAGGCCAAGGCGGACATTCACTGGGACACGTGAGGCTGTTTCAGACGATCCCCCACGGCCGGAGCTTCTGCTGCAAACGTAGAGACTGTCTGCTGGGGACCACACCTCGGGGGACTAGGTGCCCTGTGGCCAAGTCCAGGGGCCAGGAGGCTGCGGCAGGGGTCCCCCGCTCACCCGGCGGCACCCAAGGGGGAAGAGGACTGGAAGGAGGCAGGTCCCTCTAGGGGACCGGCCCCTGTACCCTGCCCACCCCGTCAGTGCTCAGGCTGCAGTGACCAGTGGGGACTGGGCCAAGGAGGCCAGGTCTGCCTTAGGTCACGGGGGACACGTAGCTCTGACACAGCCCTGATGTGCCTCAGGGCCAGCGGTTCCTAGAATCCTGGAATCCAGAGGTGCCCCCAGGAGACCTGCTCCAGAACGCAGGGACGTTTGCATGAAGGAGGTGAAGGGGACGCCAAGGGGCTTGAGAAGGAGCCTCAGGAGGCGTCAGCCCAGCAGGACGGCCCCCTCCGGGCCCTGGGGCTGGGTCCAGGCACAGCAACGCCCCCCACCAGGCTGCCCCGGCCTCTTTCTTTGATGGAGAAAACAATCCCAGGAGCCAAACAAGGCGGGAAGCTCCTGCCCTTCCAGCTCCGTTCATCACTGAAACCCAGAGCCGCAGCAGCTCCGCACGGGCCCTGCTCCCTGCTCTACGCACAGGCTCACCATTCACAGAGCCGCCCCGCCCGCGCCCAGGCCACGCCTCCCCCTCACAGGAAGGGGATTTACATCACAACTGCATCCTACAGAAGATGATTCAACCCAGGCCTGCGTTCCAGGAGGGTTACAAACCCAGGGAACCCAGGGACCACGGTTAGCGCACTCCTACCACAGCCAGGCTCTGGGGGTCGGGGATGACCAGAGGACACTCCTCTCCACCTGGCCTGGCCCCGCCGTTTCTGCTCTGGGTTCCCGCCAGCCTCTCAGGGTCTTGGGAAGGCTACAGGGATCCTGAGCAGAGTCCCGGCTGGCACGGCAGTCGGTCCCAAGATCAGGCATCACGCAGGGAAACGGCTTCAGGGGGCTCTGGCGCCAGGGTGGACGTGTGCTACCACCAGTGGCAGGTCCCCCATGTGGTGGGCAGGCCTCGTACCCGCCTCTCCCACCCACGGTGGCTCTCTGATCCAGGCGAGCAGGGCTCAGGTTTAACACAGGGGGACACCTAAGAGATGGGCCCTCCCACCAAGGGCCATCCAAGTCCACCCAACCCATTGACCATGACCCTTTCCAAACGAGGACACATCCTCTGTTCTCCAGAAGAGTAGCACGTCCCTCCAGGTGGAAAGGAAAGCAACACTGAAATCTCTCAGAGGCCAGGGCTCGGACGCACCAGGGACTCGACACCCCACACGGACCTGCGGGTTCGCGGGCGGAGGGCGCCCACCAGGGGCATTCTTCAAAGTGAGCCTCTGAAAGGAGGAGCTGTTTCCAAACTTCCGGGCGCACGGGCTCCCCCCGTGCGGTCAACTCCAGCCACCCTCTCGCCACGCTCCTTGGTCTTTGAGGACCAACGTCCATCCAACAACCGTAAATCCATCGACTTCTCAGCCACAGACCACAGGCCCTGCCGACTTCCCTGGACACAGCTCCACACAACTGAGCCACCCAGGGATCCACAGCACATGTCCCCAACGTCACGGCAGCCGCGTCCCTTCTTCCTAGCTTCTACAAGACCAGCGTTCCACATTCACTTCCAACGACTCCCCGCCGGAGCCCCAAAGGCAGCCCCGACACATTGTGGCCGCTCCAGGGCACCCGACTGCGCCGGCCGTGGGCCTCCTCACGGCCCTCTCCCCACGGAGAGTCGGCGCTCTCCCCAAATCAGAAGGCGCAGACAGCGAGTTCCTACCTCGATCAGGAAGTCCCCGGTCCTCAGCCCGGCCTGCCAGGCCACCCCGCCTTCGTCCACGGACTCCAGGTACTGCAGGGCTGGGAAGGCCGGTGTTGGCGTGAACTCTTCAATGGGGGTGTCGGCTGGGAAAACAAGAGGCACCGGTCACCAGCTGAGCCCCACGCCCTGCCCGCGTCCCCAGGGACCCTGGTGGGGAGGGTCCCGCATCCCCTGCGGGAAGGGGTGGTCCCAGCCCACTCTCCTGGGGGGAGGGCTGGAGCCTCGGGCCCTGGCCAACGCCAGCCCGGGCCGTGGCGCCAACTGCACGAGGGCGCCTCCACCATGTTCCTGGGCCTCCCTGCCGGAGCCACAGCAGAGCGTGCTTTGCGGTACATGTCTACACGCCTGTCATTTTCTTTAAAGCGCCAGTGACTAAACATTTTCAGTTCTAAAAATGGAAAAGTTCCTCCCCTACCACAGGGCGCTGAGAAACTCCGCTCAGAGGCACTTGCCAATTTCACGTCTACGCAGACTCGCGGGCCAGGGCATGCGTCGCGGAACATGGGTGCAACAGAAGGCTGACCCTCGGTGGAGGCCCCCCCCCCGCAGATGTGGAATCTGCTGGTCAGCCCTCTCCAGGGGGAGCCTGGCTCTTGGTGACCACTGTGTGTGGCCATGGCACAGGAGGGCCGGGCCTCCTCCTTCAGCAGAGCAAAGCTGGGTGTCTGGGGCCCACACAGCTGCCCCGTGGAACTCGAGGGCAAGAGGAGGACTTTCCTGGCAGTCAGGAGGGGCGGGGGCGGGCAGAGGCCGAGGAAGACGCCGGGCAGGGGGAGGGGACGCCCGCAGCAGCCGGCAGGACACGCACACGGGAAGAGTCAGCCTCTCTCTGCACAGACCTCTGTGGGCCGCCTGCGCCCACAGCAGGTGGGCAGCCAGCAGGGGGAGGCTCCCTGGGCTCAGTGGGGCCCAGCAGGGCAGCGCGGCTGGCTCCGGGGGAAACTTGCCCCTGGCTGAGCCGCACACGCGGTGGGCAGATGTCTCCTCTCGTGGGGGGTGCCATTTTGTCTTAGTTTGGAAGAGAAGTCCCCTACTTCCAAGGGCAGGTGGTGGCTGCGCCCCCAGGGACCGCATCCCGGAGCCTCCCACCACAGGCCCGGGGTGTGTGTGCTGCCAGCTGGTCCACGGCCGAGGGGACCATCTTGCCACTTTCCCTTGGCAAAGTCACCTTAGAGACAAGCACACAGATGCCTGCCGCCCTTGGAGCTGAAGCCACTTCCAGACAGTGGGGCTGGTGACCGTGTGCCGGAGCCCAGGGGCTCAAAGCAGCCCCAGCGTGGCCACACTGAAGCACGGCACACAGCCGCTGATCCCCCATGATGGGGAGGACGGTGGGGGAGGGAGGGAGAAGGAGCCCTTCGGAGCAATATCGTGTCTAGAAAATCCAGAATATGCCTGAAGGAGCCGTGTTTTCGGGGAAGGCGGCATGCTGAACAGCACTGTTGTCTAGCAACCGAGCGCCCGGGCAAGGCTGCTGGGGCTCTCCCCAGCCGGGGACGGTCCCCACACAGGCGCACACACACATGCAGAGGGGCCCGCACTCTTACCTTTCGCCCCTCGGAGCACGAACCCGAAGCCCTCATTGTCCTTCTTCTGCAGGACCACCGTCTTGTCCTCGATGATGCAGTCACTGTAGAGAGAATTCCGGGGACAGCGACCATTATTGTAACCCATCATCATCACGGCGGCTGCCCCTCCGCCGGGGACGCTCATCATCACAGCCAATTAATCACCCAGCTCGCCGGATCCAGGCAGCATGGAGGAGACTGGGCGGCCGCGAGGTGCAGGAGGAGCTGGGGGGGCTGCCGGGATAGGCGAGCGGGGCACAATGGGATGTGGGGGGGGCGGGCGGCGCAGGAGCCGGGGGGAGGACTCATGCATGCTGGAGCCGCTGCCCGGCTGCAGAGCGGGCTGGCTCCAGGCGCCCGGGGGCTGGCCAGGACACCGCCGCCCAGAGCGAAGAAAGTAAGTGGCCCGGAAGGCGGCGGCGGCAGGGACAGCGGGTGGTACAGGAGCTCCCCCGGCCCGCCTCGGCCCGACGCATCTTCCAGGGACGCGGAGGAGACAGCCCGAGAGCCGGGGCGGCGGTCCTGCTTGGCTTTCTCTGGAAGGGGCTTGAAAGGCAGGCGCCCCTGCTCCGCGCTCGCGAGCCGCCGCGGCAGGCACGAGACGCAGGACCTGTGCCTTCCTCCGCGCCCCGCCCTCTCCGTCCTAGGGAATGCGGTGTGTGGCAGGAGCCCCCACAGTCATCTGACGAGCCCACTGTGCGGCCGGCGGCCGCCTGGGCGTCATCCCGCGCAGGGGAGCCGCAGCTGGGCGGGCGGCAGGCGGGAGCAGCCAGCGCGGTGCCTCCCGAGGCCAGCGAGGGACTTCCGAGGCCAGCGGGGGAGGGGCTCCGGCCAGAGGAGCCGGGCCACTTGGGTCACAGCGATGCCTCTGCGGGCAGGGGCTCCTCCGAGGAGAGTGGGTGGCCAGGGACGGAGGAGGCACGGGCAGGCGGCTACCCTGCGGCAAGGACCTGAGCCGCGCTGTCCCCTGAAGGCATGGCATCTCTCTCCTCAAAGACGCCCAGGAGCCCAACTTCGGTTACCTGCCAGAGCCCCCTCTCACTCACACGGCACTCTGCCGCTCGCTGTCCACCCCCAGGCGCGGGCGGAGGACAGAAGTGAGCCGCCCTGCCCGCCTCCTGGTGGCCTGCTGAGGGGGAGGGAGAGAGGTACCCACATCCCACCAGGACCCAGCGTGGCCGGAAGTCAGCCAGGAGCCAGGAAGGCCCTGCCCAGGGAAGCAGAGGGGAGGGAGGGGGGGAGGGGGCCAGGGGCAGCAGGGGACAGGGCACCAGGACAGAGAGGGCTGCAGACGCCCTGGGAGGCACTGGCCAACGGTAGAGGTCCCTGTGAGTGGGGGCAGCTGGGCTGGCCTAGGCTTGTACCTACAGACAGGGCAAGCCCTGGTGTCCAGCACCTGGACAGGGCGGCCCTGGAGGAGGAGGGAGGGGCAGGCAGCAGCCCCTCCGCCCCGGTCAACAGGGGAGGCCAGTGAGGTTCTGGTTGGCGGGGGACACAGCCGGAGGGGGCACTGGCCCTAGCGGCCCAGACGGCTGGTGGGGATGCACTAGGAAGGCCCCATCGTCCCTGGACGGGCCACCAGGGCATTGGGATGGGGACGGGGTGCACCACAGCAACCTAGGGGCTGGCCGTGGGTCGGGGGCCCCGGCAGCAGGTCCAGCCCCAGCTCCTGCTCTGCCGCTGCCCAGCTGGCCAGCATAGGGAACCCCGCGCAGGGCCTCTGCCCCTGAGGCCCCTGGCTGGCCCAGGGCCACCAGGCAGGGCCTGCGGCCAGCCCGAGGGACAGGGCTCTGGGCGCCCGTGGGGGCTGCTGGCGGCCGTGGCCTCCTGTAGACGCGGGCTCAGCAGGCCCATTCCCTCTGAGTGATTTCCCAGGTCAGGGGCTCCCTCAACCTGGAAGGGTGACCCACACAGGGTGCCCCGCCCATGGCCCCACCTGCCCTGGGGACAGGTGGACCCACCTTGTGTCCAGCACATAGACACAGGCTGGCGGATTCCACCCACGGCCGAGTGGTGCCCAAACCCTGCCAGGCCCCAGCAGCCTGTGTCACATCCTGCCAGCTGCCCCTCGGTGGGCACCCACTCTGGCCAACAGGCCACCTGGACCTCTGTTGACTGTCTCCCTGAGCACCCAGGGGCAAGGCGCGTCCTTGCATGGTGGCCACTCCACCTCCAGGGCCTCAGCTTGGCTCTGAGGAGGACGGCGCAGGCCCTGTGCCCTCCTGCAGTGCGGCAGCTCTCGGGAACGCCGTCCACAAGTGAGGACCGCGAGGGGCGCCGGCCCCCTCCTCGACCCCTGGGACCCCTCCCACCTCGCCACACCCACCTGGAGTCCTCTGGGCCCTCCCAACCCACCCAAGGCCTTTCCAGCCCACACTGGCCACTGTGCTGCCCAGACTGTGACGGCTCCGACCGGCCACCCGGGCCAAGCCAGGGCCAGCCCTACGGCCCCTGACGGGATGGACTGCCCTGACCTGGCCTGGGCTCACTGCCGCCTGGGAGAGGGCCTGAGACCCTGGAGCAGCAGGGGACACCCTCGGGCAGCCCATCGCTGGCCGGTGCCGCGGCAGCACCCCATGCCCACGCTGCTCCTGGGCAGGCCTGGCCCACGCCTTTGCTGGGCCCTCCCAACCCACTGAGGGCCACACATCTGCAGTAGCCCCTGTAGGCACCTGGGGCCCAAACGTGGTGCCCGTTCCCCTCTAAATCCCACAGTTACAGCCTCTCCCGGGCGTGTTAACTGGACAACGGGGGGCCTGTGGCTTCTCCTCAGGGTGTTCTCTGAGCAGGGCAGGAGGGCCTGCAGCATGCCCCCAGACATGGCCTCTTTTGCCAACTCCTGCCTGCGGTGGGAGCTGTGGAAGGAGACAGGATGGGCAGCCAGCCCTGCCCAGTACAGAGCCACATGAAGAGCTGGCTGAGGGCCACATGCAGGGCAGTTGGCTCCGTGGCCACAGGAGGGCCTGGAGCTCAGGGCGCTTGCCCCGGCCATGCCTGGAGATGCCCCTCCTCTGCCCCGTGGGCCACAGGTGGCCCAGCAAGGTGGCTTTTGGTGGTGGCCTGGGCTCACTTCCTCCAAGCCGGGTGCCATGCAGGCCTGGGGGAGGCGGCCCTTGGCCGGGTCCCGGAGAGGTGCCAGAGATGACAGCTGGCGTTTAGGATCCGCCAGCCTCTGAGCACGCTCCCTTGGCAGTGGCACCTGGTCCTGCAGAAGGTGTGACTCAGAGCCACAGGAAGCCAGGCCTGAGCCAGCCGGGGCAAGAGAGGGGACCTGGGTGGCCGGCTGCCCTGCCCCAGCTGGAGAGGGCCGCCCTGGGAGGCTGGATTCTGAATTCAGGCTTCCCCTGTCACTCAGATCCAGGGCGGCGGTGGAGGACCCAGGGGCCCGGAGGCTCCTACAGCCAGGCTCAGAGGCCCGGTCACCTTGGAGCTCCACAGAGGCTGCTGGTGGCCGGGCCAGACAGCCGCCCGCGGCACTGGGATGTGCAGGCAGAGGACAGAGGGCGTCCAGGCAGGAGCGGGCCAGGCCCTGGGAGAGGCCGAGCGCTGGGGCTGGTGTGGGCGGGTGCGGTGCCGGTGACCTGCAGCGTTTTAAGCCACCACTTGCAGGGGGTGTGGGGCCCGGCCTGGGCTTTGCAGGGGCTCTTTACCTTGGTGTTCTGCTGGCTCTGGGCTGAGGATGAGGCTGTCACAGAGCAGAGTGGCTCTGTCCTATCAGAGGGTGCTGGGTGTGGCCGCAGAGGCCCACAGAGGCGGGTAGGCGGGGCGCCTGCGGGAGCCAGGAGGACTCCCCCGGGCAGGCGTGGGGGACGGAAGCCCCTCTAGGTCTTCCTGAGTCCCCCCCACCCCACACAGGGCTGGAGGGACAGCGGCTGGGGCACTACTAGACAGAGGGGTCTCCAGGGAGCCGTGGCAACCGATGGCCTGGAAACTTCTGGGCTCTGCCAATCAGGAGGGTGGGAATGGGCAGCTCTTCTGCAGGCGCCAGGGTGAGGAGTGGGCCCAACAGGTGTCCCTGGCCCTTTGGCTGCCAGCACCAGCCCGGGTTGCTGTCAGAGAGCGGCCTGCAGGCTGGACAGGGCTGGACAGAGGGCTGCTCCGCGGGGAGCAGCGGCCGCCTCATCCCTGGAAAGACGGGCAGGCTGCCCGCAGACAGGAGGGGCTCCCGGGCACCTGCCATTGGCCGCTGAGCCGAGGGCTAGACCACACAGGCTGCCTCTCCCAGTGTCCCGCATCCTGCTTCCTGGGGGCGCTCCCTGGCGTTGCCCTCCCTGCCGTCATTCACAGGGGAAGGGAAATCGATGGCCGTCCATCCTGTGCTCTGAGACATCCAGAGAAGGCGGCTCCGGAGCTGGGGCTGTCTCGTGCGGAGGTGACGAGTGTGGGCCACTGGTCAGGAGTGGCTGTCATCGACGGGCAGGGGACGAAGCCCACCACCCTTCCCTTGGGGCGGGCCCCGACGAGACGCCCGCTGGTGTGTGCACGGCCGTGTTCCCCCTCACTGCCCCCAAGACGACTCCACACTTTCCCTAATGGAAAAGGAAGAGCCTCACTCAGATTAAATCGTCCCGTTTCCTTGTAATAAGTCACCCTCCAGCGTTTCCACCTGCCAAGCGCTGCGGCGCAGAGACACAGGTGTGGCCAGGGCCCGCCAGAGACATCGGAGGCCCCTGGCGCTCCCTGCTGAGGCGTGGCCCCAGGGGAGCTCAGCCACGGGGCACCGCAGTCCTGGGACTCCAGCTGCCCAGACCACCTGTGGCCCAGCTGCACCAGGGGCCTCACCCGGGTCAGCACCCTCATCGGCACAGGTGGACACAGGCCTGGACACACAGGGTGAGAAGAGGCTTGTGGACAGTCCAGGCTCAAGCCCTGCTCACTGCAGAACCAGGCTACGGGCCTTGGAAGGGTGGGCGTGGCGGGCACCGCAGGACGCGGCTGTGGAAGCGGAATGTGGAAACCAGACGATCCCCCTTTCTCCTTCTCCTTCTTGGCACTCAGCCTGGCCAGGGCCACTCCACCACTGGGCCACCTCCTCCTCTTGGTTTTTTATTTTGAGACAAGG